GGGGGGGGGGTATATTTAGCATTCAGGCCTTTTTTCACCCTATTTCATTGACGTCACATGCTACCTCTATCCCTCTTTATTTTCTACAAATGGGTCATGGGAACCCTTGTTCTGCACCTTTTCGGTGATAGTATCATCCCCTGCCATCCCTATCGTTTCTGAGTAAATTGTAACTGAACTCAGTTTTAACATGGCAAAATGCAGTGGTATTTGTATGGACTAACCAGATACCACAGCCTTAGTCAGCACCATTTTGTAACTGTTCTGTTATTCATCTGCCATGTTTATGCCTTTATCATTCATGATTGATATCTTCAATGCATTCCTCCCTGCTGATTGCAGGTGGTTTGCGGGTGCTCTGTGTGGTTTGCTCCTTCTTTCCTTTCAAACATCTACCATTCTTATCTCTCCTCCTTTTTGTGTTTGTTACTCTCTTGTAACACCTCTAAGCTCTAATTTTGTTCATTTATATGACCTAATTGTGTTGCAAGTGCTGTACAAAACACTCCTGATTCCTCATCAAGCTTCAACTCCATTGTTCTCGCGAACATTTATTCTTCTGAGTACAGTTGATGATGTTCAACACTCAGAGTTTGTCCATTATTCAGAAAAAAAATTAAAATCGAAGGCATTCCCAAAGCTTAGTTGGTTTCTCAGTGTAAATGTTTTGTGAGTTTTGGGGGTAGGGTTTTTTTGTGTTATTGTTTTTTGTGTATGCACTGCTTGATGTTATCTTTTTCCTTTTGTGTTTTGTGCACTCAGTATGGGTGGTTGGAGGGCACCACTTTTAGGTTCTTTCTTTTTTTTCCCTCTGTTGTATCTGTCTGCCTGCCGTTCTTTCCTATCAAACATCTATCATCCTTATTCCTCCTCCTTTTTGTATTTTTTATTCCCTTGTAACACCTCTAATCTTTGTCACTTATCATATGACCTAATTGTGTTGCAAGTGCTGTAAAATGCTTTCTAAAAGGAAAAAACTTCTCTTTATTTAGACAAGTAATATGCTGACTCTCTTTCCTGTTTGCAGGATTTGGCCGCAAGGATGTGGTGGAACATCTGCTGGAGTGTGGGGCCAACGTACATGCTCGGGACGATGGCGGCCTCATTCCTTTACACAATGCCTGCTCTTTCGGTCATGCGGAGGTGGTAACTTTGCTGCTTGCCCGCGATGGTGACGCCAACGCCCGAGACAATTGGCACTACACACCTCTGCATGAGGCAGCCATCAAGGGAAAGATTGACGTCTGTATAGGTGAGAAGAGGTTATGACTGATCAAATTAGCTATGTTTATGTTAGGAGCTAAGTTTGTCCTCATGTATTACTGAAAAATATACCTTGCTTAGACTCGTGCCATCCATCATTCATTGGGCTTTTCTTGTCATAATGTCAATGCCACATGTTGTTAAATATAATAAGGCATTACGGAGCAGGAAAGATAGGGGTAAAATTAACTGCTCTGAAGATGAAAAAATAGAAGGAACTAACTCAAGAGTACCCTCCAATCACCAGTTTTGATAGTCTTACAAACTTATTCCCATTCATAGTTGTTGGTTTGTGAATTTAACTTTAACTTCTCTCATTTAATTTCTATTTTCTTTATAAATTTCCAGTCCTCCTTCAACGTGCTGCTGATCCAAACATTCGAAACACAGATGGAAAGACGGCTTTAGACTTAGCAGATCCCACAGCAAAGGCTGTTCTGACGGGTGAGTTGTAGTGGAAAGTAACCTCGGTATTAATGTTGTGGGTCGTCAGAACATGCAGATAGAAGCAGAGATTTCTCCCTGTCCTCTGTTGTTCTGGTGTGCTGAAAATTATTTTGAGAAAGAAGACGCCCTTGATTTGAAAGTGTGCCATTATGCAAGGAATACCCAATTTTCTCTGTATCTGAATGCTAAACTATCATTTGATGAGAGCTTACATGTAAGAGGAGGCAGGGACATGTTTGTTCACCTTTTTCTGTCTTCTTCAACAGGAGAATACAAGAAAGATGAGCTTCTTGAGGCTGCTCGGAGTGGTAATGAGGAGCAAATGATGTCTCTGCTGACACAGCTGAATGTCAACTGTCATGCTAGTGACGGCAGGAAGGTGGGGAAAAACTTGACCCTATGTGTTCATATGGGTGGTATGTGGGTGTTCTGTGGGTTCTCTTCCTTACACTTTTTTTCAATTAAATTTTACTGTTGTCCTTATATGTTCTCATGGAAATGAGGCCCATATTGTGCTGATGCTTTGTTAATTACAAAAAAAAAACCCCTCATTTGGTAGAAGCTACGACTTCACAGTTTAAAAAATTTTTATCCTTATTTTTAGATTTGTAGTTTGTTCAGATGAATGTCTGAATTCTTGAAATCGACACTGTAATAGACGCAGATGAATGTTTTTTTAACTCCTTAACTATTGAAATCAACACAGTGATAGACTCTTTCGTTGGTACTTTTTCCTATTTTCTGACTGATTGTTATCATGCTAATGCATGTCGCTGTGACTCAATACAAAAAGAAAATTTTTTATGGACTATGTGTTGACCATATCAATTTTATTCTCTTTTTCAGTCGACTCCCCTGCATTTAGCTGCTGGCTACAACAGAACTCGAATAGTGCAGCTTTTGCTCCAGAATGGTGCCGATGTGCACGCAAAAGATAAAGGGTAAAGCTTTACAAAATGCATCTTTATTTGGGAATTAACATTTGCTGTGGTTTTTCACATATCGTCGCTGTTGTGATAAGATAGGATAAGTGACATTGGACAAATTTTTCAGGACAAGGAAAAAAACTGATTTACTAAAAGGACAGCTTAAGAGTTATTCGATTTTCATACTGCTAAAAAAGTGCACTTTTGGTTGCTCATTTGAAAAAAATTTTTAACCAGCATATGAAACATATTTTGTAGAATACTTTCCACAAACCCCCCCCCCCCCTCAAAATCGAAAATTTTTAAGTTATCCAATCTTATCTCAATGGCGACGATATGTTGTAGTACAATGTTGCAGCATGAGAAAAGGGTGATTAAAAAAAAAATTGCAAGCCTGCTCAATACAGGTGAATGAAAAAAGCAAAATTATTTATTTAAAAAATGGGTAATCAGCAAGGAGGAAGTTTGCTTGCTTACAATTTGACACTTTGCAGTTACAAAATGTAAGCTTTTTTTCTCTTTTTTCTGCTTTCAGTGGACTGGTGCCTTTACACAACGCCTGCTCGTATGGCCATTTTGAAGTGACAGAAATGTTATTGAAGGTACATCAGCGTGATATTTAACATAATTTTTTTCCTTTAGCTGTATGCAATGTAGCTATGAGGTCTAAAGTGCAGAGAAAGAAAAAAAAAACTCGCTTTCCCAAACCTTCTAAATGCTCCAGCATCAGGCAGCATCACAAGGCAACTATTGAAAACAAGAAAAGACTATCTCTTTGATTTTTTTTTCCTTGCGTAGGGTTTAATGTTGAACAACACTATAAATGTAGATGTTTTAGATGTTGCCCGATTGTTAAAATGTTTTCATATGTTCATTGAATGTTTCAAAATTATTGTATTCTTTAAAAAAAAGAAATGCTAAATACAGTCTTTCTTGCTACATAAAGGGGTTCAACTGGCATTAGTAATGTAAAAAAAAAAGAAGAGTGTGAACAAAGGTAATGGGTACAAATAACATTGCAGTATTCATCATTTTGGTTTGTGCCTGTTCATGAAACAGTTTCTTCACTTCAATGTTAAAAGAGTTTGGACACCCTTCTTAACTGTCTGTTATTTGCTCATGCTGCCCACAGACAAAAACGCTTTTGCGTTTAAAAGGCTAATTTATTGTATATATAATTATTTTAATAACCATTTTATGCCTCATCAGCATATGTAGATCAGTTTGAAGGCAGGCTATTGTGATCCTGCCTGTCTGGGCCAACAGTGGTCATGGGGAATAATACCTCACAGCAGAAAGTCAGAGATTTTTAGTAAATATCTTCCCCTCTCAGCTATCAAACCCTTGTCCTTTGTGTGCCAGGTATAGCGTCGGTTACTCCACAAGCACTGGTGAAAAGATTCTGAACTACCTGTCAGTCACTACAGATGTGAGGATGTTTAATTTAGTACAATAAGGTTTTTAAGTTTGGTTCTGTCTTTGTATTATTTGTGGTTCTAGTGGCTGCCATTTCATGTAAGGCAAAAGACCACTTATAGATCAATGACTGAACAGATTGTAGCGTATTCTGTGGTCTTGTGTATCCTTTGCTTTTCTTTGGAGTCTTTTTAGCATGTGAGTTAAATGAATCGTATTTGTTTTCAGGCTGGAGCCAGTGTCAATGCCGTAGATCTATGGCAGTTCACTCCATTGCACGAGGCAGCATCCAAGTCGAGAGTAGAGGTCTGTTCCCTTTTGTTGGCTCATGGAGCTGATCCGACTCTCGTCAATTGTCACAGCAAAAGTATCATGGACGTGGCTCCTAGTAGGGAGCTGCAGGAACGCCTTCAGTGTATGTATTTGTGCCTTGTTGTCTTTTTGAAGTAATACTGGATTAAATATAATTATTGCTAGAGGTTGTTTTTTGGGGGGGGTTTTTGGCAGAGGATTGTATTGCTATGCTTAGGTTTAACATTCCTTTCAACTTGAAGTTAATCAAGAAGCAGGACCTCCACATTTAACATCAGTCTCCAAAATAGGAGAAAGCCAAATATGTAGAGAGTCTTGAAAACTCCATAGCCGATACAAGTTTACAAATGCTCTAATAAACAGGGGTAATCAGTTATAGCTTTTAATGGGTTTTTGCATAATTGTTGACCAAGTGAGATTTCCAAAACATTTAGAATTGTCATTACATCATATGAAAATATTTTTCTTCCATTGTACACAATACCCATGTAATATACTATAAACAGTTTCTTTTTGTTTGTTTGTCCTCAGTCGAATATAAAGGTCATGCCTTATTAGAAGGAGCTCGTCAAGCCGATCTGACCAGAGTAAAGAAATACCTCTCAGTGGAAATTGTAAATTTCAAACACCCTTACACAGGCGATTCAGCTTTGGTATGTGTTCACATCCACCTTGTATGGGCTGGTGGTCTTGGGAGTTTCTATCAGTATTTTTTTAATAGAAAATTCATTTGCAAATGGCTGTCAAGTGGTAGATGTTAAAATAAACTGTAAGTGTAGTTTAGTAACTTAGTCGTGATGCTCATATATTGCTTTTTGAATACCAGTAGTAAAAACCTTGTAATGCCTGAAACTCTGTGCAGGCAAATGCAGTGAATTTTCATGTCTCCTTTGTGTATTTTATTTTGGGAAGCATTTCTGTGCGTGTCCGAAGAAATTGGAGAAAAAGGCTTTTTCAGTTTCTCCTTTTTGCTTTCATTGGGGTAGTGGGTGTTGTACTGCTTTCTCTTGTCAGCTTAGCTTTTATGGAGTCATTTGTGGTGAATGTTCTTGTTCTGACCCAGGTCTTTGCTTTGTGTCTGGTTTCAGCATTGTGCTGCTGCTTCACCTTATCCAAAGCGTAAGCAAGTTGTAGAGCTGCTGATAAGAAAAGGGGCCAACCTAAATGACAAAAATAAAGAGTGAGTATTTAAAATGACAGTTATATGTTTGTTTTTCTTTGAAAATGCCATCTGGTATTGTTATTTAGTCTGCCCTCTCACTTTCTCAGAGGGACTTGAAGGAAAAACAAGGATTATCTATTGTTTGATTTTAGCAATTCAAAACTATGCTGTATCTTGTATTGTTGTCGGTTTGTGGTGACATTTGTTGTCTAAGGCGAGTTTCATACTTGTATCAGGGTCAGACTGAGGCTTTGGCTGATGATATTTATAACTTGAACTGTGGTGCCTAATCTTGTAACTAAATACTTAAATGTGCAGATACATTAGCTTAAAAAAAAAAATCCTTCCTTAAGTGCGGGGGTAAAAGCAGGACAGACAGAAATGACTGAGGGGAGGTTAAGAAATAGATTTATCGATGGCACTGCTATTTATCAGTATTGTTATTATAATGATTTTAAAAAGTTGTGGCACATGTCATCCACCAGTTTAGTTGATGAAGTGACTGCAGTGTTCATAGTGTTTTGCTTGCTTGTGTGTAAATGAACAGAGCATTATCTGGCGATTGTCCCTCCCCCAGGTACCTGGCAGCTCTGCACATTGCAGCGGACAAAGCTCACTACGATGTCATGGATGTTCTGCTGAAACATGGGGCCAAGGTAAATTGTTGATAAATTTATAAAGATGTGGGATCTGGGTAACTGTCCTTCTAAACTCGCCCAAAAAAGTCAAGGAACAACTTGTGTTTTAACTTGTCAAATTTAAACTTCAATATCTCACAAACTTGTTAAGATCAGTCAACCAAACTCAGCACATGCACTGACGACTAGACACACTTTGCCTGTACAGCTAATTTGCCGGCCCCAGCTTCACAGTGACGGCGTAGGGCATTCTGAAACACAGCCGAAAAGCATGAAAAATGGGCTAAATTTCTTTACTTCAGCATCACTGGCATAGGGACTGTTAGCTAAAACTAACCTTGGCTCGTGCTAAACAGATGTCTTAGCGTTGAATATTGCTGACTTACAACCCTTTATAAGCCAGCGTTTTTCAGCCATGTTTCATTACAACACGAAGGTCCAACGACGCTCGCTACCTGACATCGACAGAGGACGAGCTCTTACCTGGCTCCAAGATGACTTTACCTTCCCAGTTGTTGCACATCGACTTAGGGGGTCCCCGTCAGTCATATAGAGGCAGAAAGAACGATGGCGAGCGACCGGAAGGATCCAGGACAGGCCTCGACCAGGGCCGCCCTGTTGACCAACGACAGCATCGAGCAGTTCATTGTCTGACAGGCCGTGATGTCACAAACCACCACTGTAAACAGCATCAGGGACCAACTACGGGTGACAGCCAGTGTCTACGAGAGCGAGGAGACGGTAAGGAACTGTATCCGTAGAGCCAGGTTCGCTTCTCGTGTCCCTGCCAGGCGCCCAAGGCACACGCCGCCCCACAAAGCAGCTGGCCGGGCGTGGTCTGCTCGCCATTAATAGTCGACACATTGTCAGTGGAACCGGTTAGTCTTCTCGGACGAATCCAGATTCAACCTGCTGCATCCGGACAGGCGAGCCCACGTCTGGAGGCGCCGAAGAGAGCTGTTCCACCCTGAGTGCATCCAGCAGGTGGCGCCCTACGGTGGAGGATCCGTTCTGGTGTGGGGAGGCTCCTCAGCTCACCACAAGACTCCCTGTACCATATACAGGGCAATTTGATCGCGGCAAGGTACAGGTACGTCCCCTTGATGTTCCTCTCCAGCGGCAGATTGGACCCCAGGCTGTACTGCAGGACGACAACGCCACGCCACGCCACATCGCGCATGCATCGTGGGAGACTTCCTGCAGCAGCCATCTGTCACCCGCAAGGACTGACCAGCCTGTAGCCCGGATTAGAACCAATAGAGAACATTTGGGATCACATTGACCGGTGGATAAGGTACAACCACCCTCCTGCACAAAACCTTCAACAATTCTTGGGTTGCCTAGTCCAGGAGTGGCAAAACCTACCGCAACAAGGTCTCCGAGGGTATGTCCTGCTCATGCATCGATGCTGTACCGAGTGTTTGGTCAAACGGAGGGGCTACACCCACTATTGATAATGTTCTTGAAGAACTATGGCTGTTCAGACTTTTGAAATCCGACCAGTTTTACATGAACTTCTCGCTGTTGCTGAAATCTGAAATTGTACACACTTAATCCAGACAGTCGAAAGCATCTTTTTTGAAAAAATGAATAAATTCCGTTAAATTGTTATTCAGTTATCTTTCTTTGAATTTTTGTTCCTTAACTTTTTTGGGCAAGTTTAGTTTGGTCTCTACCTTATTTCCAAGCACTGTTGATGTATTCTTTGAGAGAGACTAGATCTATTTTTTCGTAACTGAGTTTGCTTATGTAGTGTGTTGGCTTTTACTTTAATTGGTCACTGACCAGTTCTGTCGATGTAGTTAGTCAATGATTTTTAAAAGCGCTGTGTTTATTGCATTTATTTTTGTTCGGTTGTAAAGTGGATGCAAAAGGCTTTGTCTTGTGTCTTGAATACCAAACTAATTAAGCTGTCAAAGGGTACTCAAATAAAAGATGTTCCACTTGTGACTAGAAAATGTTTCTGTTATGATAAGTCTTCTTTCTTTTCATTTGTGGGATTGAATTGTGTGGATGAGCATATCCTCATTTATGTCATCTCATACTCTTTTTTTTCCAGTACAGCATTTAGGACTTCATCTTGTTGATAAAAAAAGTCTTAGTATTTCTTTCAATGCAGTTATATAATTGTATTTATGCTCTTTAGCATTGTGTTTTCTAAGAATAAGAGTCAGTCAAGTGCATACATATTGCCTGAAAGTCAAAGTTGGACGAGAGTATCCCTACCAGTGAAACATTTAAAAAGATAGGCAATGCAGCATAGTTGTGTAATGATTTACTTTGAATGTTTTTGAGGTCTTACTTTTTTGTTTTTTTCTTGTCAGCTGTCTAGTTAATGATAATGATAATGTGTTTCTGTGCAGGTCAATGCTTTGGATGGCCTTGGCCAGACTGCATTGCACCGAGTGGCCCAACAAGGCAACATGCAGGCGTGTCGCCTCCTCATGTCTTACACCATAGACACCAGCATTGTGTCTCTACAGGGCTACACTGCTGCTCAGCTGGCCACTGAGAACATTCAGAAGCTCTTGAGGGGTACGGTCATGTTTTATTGATCTGTAAATTAACTACTGTGTTGGTATCGTCGCCAGTGTCATTTTTTTTAGTGTAATATTTAGGCATTCTTTTGCATGCAAAAAGACGTGTTTGAATTCCACCAAGAGGGGATATTTCGCCTAGTGTCTCCTTCTCTTTGGTTGATTGTGGTGTCCTGCACATCTCAGGTTGGTCCTGATAGGCTCGGTCAAAGTGGTATGTATGTATAATATTGCTTCATAAATTATGGAGCATGTTGATGATGTAATATTACATTAAAATGAAGTGGTGTGTTGGTGTAAGATGGTTTACTTGATGGTTCCTTAGAATGTTTTTTTGCCATTCTTTATTTCACTAATCAGGGGGTATCTTTATTTCTTTTGTAGTAGATTAAACAATGTGTTGATATTAATTGTTTACCAACAAGATGAAGTAATGTGTTGCTTTTTAGTTTGTATTGAATATAATTTCACCGTTGCAGGGGTCGAATGTTAATGTCTTTCTGCTCTTCTGGTCTATTTTCAGAGGATCCACCTGTCGGAGGCACTGACATTGATATTCAACTTTTAGAAGCAGCTAAAGCAGGAGATTTAGAACTTGTGAAGGTAAGTGGCTATGTGAAACCACCTGAGAACTTTTTGGGTTTTGATTTCCTTGTGGTTGGGGGGGGGGGGGGATGTTTTCTGTGAGAAAAAAGAGTTTGAAAGAAAACTTGCTGTCAAAACTATTAAGAAGAACAACAGTGACTGTGTTTTCTTTGATGGTTGAAGAAATGCTAAGAAATATTTTACAATGACAATAAGGAGAACATTGCATTAGTTAAAATTTGTGGATAATTTCAAGAAATTTGATTTACTGAAGTATATTTGAAATTTTGTTTTGAGAGTTGAGGTTAAAGGTGGTGTGTGAAAAAACTACTAATGTTGAACTTGGTATACTAACTTCGTTTTAGGAGACTAATTGTGTAATTTTTGTGATAAGTATGACTGGTTGGTGATGTGTGGCTTGTTTGTGATATTTGACAGAAACTTGTGGCCACCAATCTGCATGCTGTGAACTGCAGAGATGTGGACGGAAGGCACTCAACCCCACTGCACTTTGCTGCTGGCTACAACAGGGTGTCTGTTGTTGAGTATTTGCTGGAGCATGGGGCTGATGTGCATGCCAAGGACAAGGGGTAATTATTTTGTACAGCACAGACTTTTTTTTTTTAAGTTGTTTTTATTTATATTTAAATTTGTAATCATTAACAATGAGGCAAAGAATATTTTTGACTTGTCGCAAATTTCACCGGAAAAAATCGGGATGTCACTTTCAGGTTTGGGGACTTCTGTGATGATTGGCTTTTCTTCTAACTTTTGGATGGTAACTTTTTAAAGTTTCAGATTTTTTTATGACTAAAGCAAAGACTTATTTCATTGTGTCTGATTTTAGAGGTCTTTTTGGAGATGAAAGTTAAACTCGGAGGTCCCGTCTCTTATATAACCTATTAGTGTTGATAGGGGCATTAAACATGTACCATTTCACCATTTACACAGAGAGATATCTCAGTTTTATGTAACCTCTTGATGAAGTTCATGCTTCCTATCTCCCCAGTGGTCTGGTGCCTTTGCACAATGCTTGCTCTTACGGGCACTACGAAGTGACAGAACTTTTGATTAAGGTAACACTATGAATGTGTTTATTTTTCTTCTTAAAGAAAGCAGCTTTTACCATCTATTTGATTTTGATGTTTGGAATCGCAGGGGCGTATTTGACTATCGTCTCTACTTTTGTGGTATTTTTGCCTTTTACTAAATCTTTTTTTGCCTGAGAACTGACAGGACAGTGCTCAATATCAGTGGGTGCTCTTGCATTGTTTGTTCATTCTACTTTACTTTGAGTGTTGTCTTTTCCCAGCAAAAATGCTGCTGCTATTGTGCAGACTTGATGAGAATTACAATTAGATATTAGAGTCTAATTGTGTGGTAAAAAAAAAACTCCATACGACAGCTTTTTACATGTATTATAAATGGTCAAATGTTCTCACAAATAATTTAGCTAAATAGTGTTCATTGTTTATTTGTATATTTAGAACTGCCTCGTTCTGGCTTTTGCAAGTGAAATACATTGTAAATGTTTGTGTTTTACCCCCAGCATGGAGCCTGTGTCAATGTGGCAGATTTATGGAAATTCACTCCCTTACATGAAGCAGCCTCTAAGGGCAAGTTCGAAATCTGTAAAATTCTGCTCAAGGTGAGTATTCTACTTGGCAATATGTTTTCACTGCTACAGTTTTGTGAAATGCATTGTTACTTATGGGTACTATCTGTTTCTTTAAGCCATGTATTGAAATAATCAGTGTTTTGTCTCTGCTGTAAAATTCATCTGTCCGGAATTACCAGGTTTTCGCCACTGGCCATTGATATACCAATCTGTTCTGCTTGTTGGATTGCTGTTCTAATGCCCAGTTCTTTTCCCTTACTTATGTGTTACAGATTGGTGAATTGTGAATTATGATCGCAGAGAGCAACGAGTGTGTTATTTTCCTGTTGTATGATGTTCTTTTTTATGTTGTTTCAGCATGGTGCTGACCCCAACAAAAAGAACCGTGATGGGCACACACCACTGGACCTAGTCAAGGAAGGGGATCAAGACGTTGGGGATCTGCTCAGAGGTTTGGAGCTTGTGTTGTTGCTTTTTACACTTTAGTGGTGGTTGGCTTGAAACTGATGCCTTTACATCATAGTTTGGAAATTGTGGTCATTTAGAGGTACTGAATGAGAGATTGTGAATGAACCTCTGGTGGTTGCCTTGTGCTACACGCTGGCAGTATAGCATTCAGACGTAAGTCATTTTTGGCGGCCTTTGAGACACGTCTGTACATACTGCCCGCGTACATAAAGCTGGAAAAAGATTTGCAGTCTTTCGAATGTTGACATGATCTCAAGGCAAAAGTAACTGTTTGGGACAGTGATCAGTGAAATATTTTCATATTTGGATTGGATCGCGGGTGGTTGGTGGGTGCTCTAGTGTGATTTGCTCCTTTCCTTTCAAACATTTGTCGTTCTGATCTCTCCTTCTTCTTTTTTGTGTTTGTTATTCTCTTGTAACGCCTCTAATCTTCGGCACTTATATGACCTTATTGTGTTGCAAGTGCCGTAAAACTTTTACTAAAATGAAATTGGATGGGATCAACAAAGTAGTTAGGGCTGTTTTGTTGTCCTTTGTGTTTTTATTGTATGTTATTTTACTGCAGTCACAGCATTTCGTTCATGCTATTTTTGGTTGCTTGTTTTTGACAATTAATTATTAGATACCCCAGTTTATTTGGGTTTTCTTCATAACTAAAATGCCATTCATTTCAAACCAGGGGATGCTGCACTGTTAGAAGCTGCTAAAAAGGGAAACCTTGCCAGAGTGCAAAAACTAGCATCAGAGGAAAACATCAACTGTCGAGATACTCAGGGACGGAATTCAACTCCATTACATCTCGCTGGTGAGGAGTCGTTTCATTTTTGTAGTATAACTTGTGGTGTTTTCAGGGGTTTTTTCTGGTTTTTTTCCTTTTAAAAAAAAAAAAAGAAATGGCTTTAGCGGACTATTGTGGCGTTTTTGATATATCTGTTGGACTTCATGTTGGGGGGGAGGGGGGGGGGGGGGCAGATATTAATGGTTTTTAATGGTTTGTCATTGCTTTGGGTGGTTTCTTTTTACAGTTGAATTTTGGCAGCCTCAGTGTGTGTAACAGCAGTTTGTTGTTGGGTTTCTTTTTTATCATTTCAAAATCAGGATCACTGTAACTGCAGTTAGAATGAATATATGTTTTAAAGTTTCAATACATGATCTAGCTTCTTACCATCTCTTGATATGCATTAATGTAGACAAACAAATATCTATTAAAAAAATCATTGTGGTCTTTGTTTTTATTCAACAGCTGGTTATAACAATGTTGAAGTTGCTGAGTTTCTGTTAGAGAATGGAGCTGATGTTAATGCCCAGGACAAGGGTGGTCTCATTCCTCTGCACAATGCTTCATCCTATGGGGTGAGTGCGTCTTTTTTCATTGTCATCTGTCATTTCTTTGCCCACTGCCTCTGCTATTGTAAAAGAAAGCATACAGTGCTGCTCATTATTGCCAAAGTAAATATTTTTATTTTCTTTCCTAGGAGTATAACTTTTTTCTTCGTAACTTTGTATTTGTCCTCACGTTCATTGTGCTTTGATGTTTTGAGTGGGTTGAGGGTTCCTCCGGGAAGGTCTCATTTATCCTCTTTTGTTTTGGTCTCTGGATGTCTTTGATTTTTCTTGGTCTAAAGCGATTTTCTGCTTTTCATTCAAACCACATAAGCTTAATGTCTTTCTCTTTAGGCAGGAAAAATGTTATCTGTCAGTATGGTCTCGAAAGTAAAAACGTTTCTTTTCCAACTTGCCAGCATGTGGACATAGCAGCTCTGCTCATTAAGTTCAACACATACGTTAACGCTCAAGACAGATGGGGATTTACACCTTTACACGAAGCGGCCCAGAAGGGGAGGACCCAGTTGTGTGCTTTGTTGGTGAGTTTATGACCTCTCAGAAAGTCATTATTGGTAGCGTGTGTTTTCCGAAAGTAGTAGTGGTAAGACTTAAATACTGTAAAAAATATTGATGTACTAGTTTTTGTTCCTTCTTACAATATTGATGTGTTAGTGGCTTGGAGATTGTGGGATATTTTTGTTATATTAGTGAGTAAAAGTAAAATTTGTATTCTTTCATTGTCTTAGAAAATCAGATTTTGTAATTTATATTTTGTAGCTTAGCATAGGTACCTGAAAGATTATTTTGGGGGGTTGCTGAAAAATACTTTTTAAATGAAATTATTACATAATTATAAAATTTTAAAGTAATTTTTAAATGATAAATTCATGAAAATGAGTTGGATACAATATGTTGTTGCAGCTTGCTCATGGTGCAGACCCAACAGTGAAGAACCAAGAAGGTCAAACTCCCCTTGATCTTACCACGGTACGTTATATAAGGTTTCTACAAGATTAAACTTTTGATCAGTCTTAACTCAAATCCAATGCTTTGCAGTAGCTAAAGGTGACTCTTAAAGATATTTCTAGTAAGTCTGGAGCCAAATGGATATTTTTGTTCTTCTTCTGTTGAAAAGAGCAGATTTGTTATCCTAAATTTTAGAAGGTACTGTACAGTTGGGTGACTATATAATATGAGAGTTCAAATTTTCTCCAGGCTTTTTTTTTCTTCCCTGAACCTGATTAGGTAACTAAGTATCAAGATCATATATTTCCTTGTGAGATTTCTTTATTGTGAGAGTTTATAGTGAGGTGATGCTTTCATACTTCACAAAAAATTGGAGTAGACCAACCATTTCTTTGATTGTGTCACAAATGACTAATGATTGCCGACTGTGTGGTCAGGCGGATGATGTTCGAGCTCTCCTACAAGACGCCATGCCTCCCAGCACGATGCCTCCCTCTCTGCCCAAGTCTCAGGCAGCCACACTGGCCAGCTCCAGTAACTCCTCCTCCAGCAAGTAAGTCACTGTGTTCCTTCATGCCTTCCTTCAGTGCACTGCTGTGACCTACACTGATTTTAGAGTCCTTTCTTTTCTTCATGTAGGTACTGGTACTGCCCTCCTCTTTTTATGCTTGGTTATTGATAGTTTTGTGATGTGGTTTTTATAGAAAGACAACTATTGTCAAATGCTGATTAATAACAATTTATGACTTTTGCTTAAAGCTGTTTCTCTGTTTTGACTGTCAAGTGTGTTTGTCATACAGTAATGTTCGTGGGTGGTTGGCGGGTGTTCTGGTGTGGTTTGCTCCTTCTTTCCTATCAAACATCTATCGTCCTTATCTTTCCTCCTTCTTTTTTGTGTATGTTACTCTCTTGTATCACATGTATTCTTTGGAACTTAAATGACCTTATTGTGTTGCAAGTGCCGTAAAACTCTTACTAAAACTTAAACTATACAGTAATGTTCAGTGTCTGAAAGTAATTCGTTAACGAAAATTATTTCTATGTGTTGACTTTCGTGTGTCTATAGTTGTACCACCAATATTCTACTGGCCATACCCACTTCCTTATACAATATGGCACAACTGAAGCAGACTTGCATATCTTCGCACAAGTGATAAGACAAACTCCAGCAGAGTCAAATGTTCCAGGAGAAGCAAAAAACTGCTTTGGTTTCATCAGGCGACAACATGGCGGATGGCTTTATTTTTAATGTTTTATGAGCATTTCCGGTCAAAATTCAGACCTGTCTTTGTCTGAGCATATGAAATGGATAATTTACTGTTGATTTGTCATATAATATTTTTTTAAATTATATATTATGGGCTCGCTGGTCTTATCACAAAGGCCGCAATTTTCTTCTCTGTGGCATCAAGCAGAGAGGTGAAAACCCCACAGCTGCTAAATTTACACCGAGAACTAAAAGGTCGCCATTACTGTTTCTTGCTGTGTTTTTAGTTTTGCTACGCCACCTTTTTATTGCAGGGACTCTTGGAACAATATTTTAGTTACAGTTCTCTGTTCTATGAGCTTTCATTCATGTAGTGTCATTTGATGCATTTTTCAGCAGTCTTCTCAATAGCAGTGGCTCCGACCTGGGCCCTGGGGCTGTCGGGGGCGCGGGCACACAGTTTGCAGGGGACGGTTGTGTGGACCGGTCTGTGGCTGAAGGTACAACTGAGATTTGTCTTTGTCATTTATATTGTACTTTTTTTGGACCCTATAGAAACATTAAATGATGAGATGGAATCATTTTGAATGTTGTAGTGCTTTGACCTATTTGTTTACAGATCATGTTGTCGATTCTTTATATCGAGGTAACTCATTGTATGGCTGTTTCATGCTTTTTTCCCTCCTTTAAACATAATGAAAAATTTGTTTAGACTTTTTAACAGAATTTGATCTTGTTGATTCTTTGAATAATAACTTATAATATGGTTGGGAGTTTTTTTCTTTGAAACATAATGAAAATTTTGTTTTAACACTTTGCCATCATATTTTGTGGAAAATCCAAAGAAACTGGGTGGTAAACATCGCCAATCGGCGAGATGAGTCGGCAAAATGTTAAGCATTTCATTTTTTATTTATTTGTTTGTTTGGGTTTTTTAAAAAGTTATGATGGAGTTGGTGGTTGGCGGGCGCTCTGGTGTGGTTTGCTCCTTCTTTCCTATCAAACATGTATTGTCCCTATCTCTCATTTTTTTTGTGTATGTTACTCTCTTGTAAAGACATCTATTCTTCGGCACTTATAGGACCTTATTGTGTTGCAAGTGCCATAAAACGCTTACTAAAACTAAAAAACTTTAAAAGTTATGACTGTAATGTATAGATGTATGAAATGCTTACAAAACTTCACAATAATTATTTCAATTAATGTTATACATAATATACACTTGTCATTAGTACTCTCTGGTTATCATTTTTGGAAAAATAATAATATGTATTTCATTCATTCAGGTGAACGTAGCATAGAGGGTATTAGCGTCTCGTCCTTTTTATCGAGCGTTGGTCTGGAGCAGTTACGGGACATTTTCGAAAAAGAACAGATCACCATGGACATTTTGGTGGAGATGGGACACGATGAACTCAAGGAAGTGGGCATCAACGCTTATGGCCATCGGCATAAAATTCTCAAGGGGGTGGAGAAACTTACAGCATCCAAAGGTAGGTCTGACAATGTTGAATATATTTTCAATTTTCAACATATTTCCTCATAAAGATTTTGTTCATTTCACATGCCTTAGATTCATTGTGATATCAGGAAACATTTTCCTTTTACCACCTTTCTTTTTTATTAGGGGAGCTGTTTTTTTCAGTAGATCATTTCTTTAAGAATTATTTGAATGTTTGGATTCTTATTTCCTTTCTGTATAATTGTCCATCTCTGAAACCCTGGTGAGTGTGTAATGTATATTATGGTCAAAGATGGTTTATCAAAAGACCTTCTGAAGAAGGAAGAGTTTTCTTCTATCATTTCCAGATGCCTATTTTTTTAAAAAACTTAGTTTTGATTTTGAAATTTCACACATTTTTCTATTCATGTGATTAGAGTGGGGGAAAATTAAGTAAGTTTCATTATTTCCTTCCAACACAGGTGTACAGAATGTGGTGGGTGCTCCTAGTCAAGGCACTGTGTTAATTGATCTCATGCCAGATGATCCAGAATTCAATTCTGTCAAAGATCAGGTGAGTCAAGTGTTGCTGACACAGTTACACAAAGCAACACTAGATTAGGAATCTACTAGAAGCTTTGACAGTGAGTCTCAGGGCTGTTCCTGAAATAGGAGCCCTTCTGTTGATGTTCAGCCTAGTGATAGCCTATAGTAAGTTTATAGTGTAGGTTGTTCAAAAGACCATTCTAGTGGGTGGTTGGCGAGTGCTCTGGTGTGGTTTGCTCCTTCTTTCCTATAAAAAATATATCGTCTCTATCTCCCTTCCTTCTTTTTTGTGTTTGTCATTCTCTCTTGTAATACCTCTAATCTTTGGCACTTATATAACTTTGCTGTGTTGCTAGTGCCGTAAAACTCTTTCTAAAACTAAGACCATTCTATTGTATTCTTTCAGCCAAAATCTGTGTTCAAATGTACACTGGTGTCAACTTTGATGCATCTCTTCTTTCTTTCTTTCTGTTCCTTTCTGTTCTTTTCTGTTCCAACTGAGCCTTGTGCCTTGCCTTTTAAGTAATCTATTCATGTCCAGTTGGGTGTTTAAGCCATTCAAATAAAATAAGTATAGTCGTCAGTTCTTGGACTTGAACTCTCTAGAGGTGTGTGTTCTCATCCTGGTAGTCTTCAAATTTTTCTAGTGCTTTCTTTGAAATTTTTGGTCTCAAGTCTTGTAACCCTTGGCTCTTGTATGGATTCCTTTTGGCATGGGTTTACTTTTAATACTTTAAGGACTTGCTGTGATTGTGCTATACTTATAAATGAAGTGATGTCTCGTTCTCAGATGGTCAATACTTTGAGGGACCACAAAGACAACGTTGGCGGAGTCTTTAACAGTTATAACATTCTCAAGATCCAGAAAATCCGAAACAAGAGATTGTTTGAACGTTATGGCCATCGGCGGAAGGAAGTTGGGGAGGAGAACCATGGACAGCCGAACGAGAGACATCTCTTCCATGGCTCACCTTTCATCAGCGCAATCGTTCACAAAGGATTTGATGAGAGGCATGCTTACATTGGTGGAATGTTTGGCGCAGGTTTGTGGACGGACTAGTACATTTGCTGGGGTTTTGTCAATGAAGATTGGGTCGTTTAAAACTATCTTGTAAGACTGTCTGAAATTTTCTTTTATCACTGCTATTGTTATCTGTCAGTATGGACGCTATATGGGTCTATACCAATTATTTATTATGTGTTTTATGTTCACAGGAATTTCATTGAGTATTTTATTGTTAGCAAGGACAATTTTTTCAGTTTTTGTATGGAGATGTTGTTTCAGATAAGCTTTGAATTCCATTCAGATGGTCAGATAATTGTATTATGCACAGTGCTTTGAGAGTTTCCTTCAGCTTGGCGGAATCTGCATTGCTATTTGTTCTCTTTTTTTCTTTGGGATTGGGGGGGGGGGTTCCTGGTTCATTATGTTTCAGCTTTAATTGTTTTCTATTTGTCATAATTTTTTGCAGAGACATGTAGACTGTAAAAATGGATGTGTATAGAAACAAAACAGGGCTAAAGTTTTTTCATAATGACTTGTATTATTATGGTGGTGTTTCTCATAGTTGTGTATGTATGATTGTAAGTAATGGCCATTGCTTCTTTTTGGTGACTGAAATTTCAGCATTGAAGTTTTCCTCACATTCCCCCTCTCCAGGTATCTACTTCGCAGAGAACTCCTCCAAAAGCAATCAATATGTCTATGGCATTGGTGGTGGAACAGGATGCCCCACCCACAAAGACAGATCTTGTTACATTTGCCAGAGGTAGGTTGCTTCGAGAAAATGTAATATAGCAAGCCTAGCAGTTATATAGTTTTGTATATAAAGTCTTTTGCTCTTTATTCTTTCAGGGGATTGTTAATTAATTAAAAGAGATATGTAAACTTTGTACACTGGTATATTTTTAACTTCAGGTTTTGTCTGTGGCTTCGGTTTTTGTCCCTGCTACTGAGGTCCTATTTTTTAAAATATGGTTTGTTTTGGGGGTTTTTATTTTTTACTTTTTTGGGGGGGAGGGGGGGGTGCATTAATTGTTGGTATATTATCTTTGACAATCTAATGTTAATCTGTCAGCACTTAAATTTATTATTCATGTTTTTGTTATTTCTGTCTTGGCAGGCAACTTTTACTTTGTCGTGTGACCCTGGGCAAGTCATTCCTTCAGTTTTCCGCCATGAAGATGGCCCATGCCCCACCTGGCCACCACTCGGTCATCGGCCGGCCCAGCACAGGTGGTCTCAACTATGCAGAATATGTGGTGTACCGAGGAGAGCAGGTCAGTGGCTTACAACCATATGGGAGGCGTGCTGACAAAATGAGTCACTTCTCGCAGTCTATGGATGGAGATATAGGCCAAATATCAACACTTGGTTTTACATGTCTTTTATCATTTCATACCTAGACTTTTTTTTTTACTTTAGAATATATTGAGCTGAAAGAATTAAGGCCTCCCCTTGTGGCTTTAAATGGTATATGTGTATGTATATGTGTCATGGTGAGGTGGAATCAGGTGTTCGTCAATTTTTTTGGCAAATAAGGGAATTTATGGTATAGTCTTAAAGCATGTTCATATTGACTGTTCAGTATAAGACTCTGTCTTACGTCACTTTTCAAAGCCGTGGTATATGGTGGAATCTTTCACTTAGCCGGCGATCTGTCTTTCTTATGATTTAAAAAATGCCCATTTATATGAAAAGAAGTTGGGATATTTACACTTTATGGTAGGGGTTGCGTGGTGTCTGAGGTAAAATTGCCAAGAAAACGGCCACCAAATATTGGAGATTTTCAAAGCCTATGTGTCCTTGAAAACTGCAAATTTACATTCTTAGGTTGCCTTTGATCAACGTTTTTCATTAAAAATCAACACTGAAAAGTGTTTTTATATGACCATGAAAGGTGTTGACCCCCCTCCCCGAAAAAATGAAATTGATAGAAGTTGCTGAGCAGACGGGAAAATGCTGGTTTCTTCGATTTCATTATTCTGACAAATGCCTGATTTTATCACGGTGGCACATAATTGATTTGTTTCCATCTTAATACTTAATATCAGCTTTTGTTTACATAGTCCTATCACTGGTGATTATATAAGTTTCTGGCCATATCTATCAGCTTTTCCCTTGGTCTTCATACATAACCATTAAGCTCTCTGCCGCCAGCTACAGATTGGAATGTAGCCTTCTATGACCTTTTCAGTTACAAGGTAAAGAAACAGCTTTTAACTCTAAGCTCAGGGCAACAGTGTATGAATTCATATGCTCCTTCATAGCAAGATGAAGTAATAGTAAAAGTAAAATACAATTTTTATTTATTATTTTACAATGTATGAATTCATAAATGCCCTTATCGAGTTGAAATGTGCTAATATAGTTGGGTAAACTCATGAAGCTGCTCAAAACGTGCCATTTAATTTCTTGTGTTGCTGCTTTAAACACAGCTTTTTTTGTGATTTTCTTATTAAATAGTTTTGATGTTGCTTAATTTACTTGTCATTCCTCGGTAAAATATGAGAAATGAATGGGATTTCATGGGATTTCTTTTTTAGGTCATAAAACATTGCAGAAGCCTTTTTGTATATCTCCTTTCAGCTTTTCTTCTAAAGAAAACTCATCCTTGCACATTCATTTTCTGTGGACGGAGAAGTGGTTTCTGTGTTAGTCATGGAAATTATAGACGTTTTCCAGGATGTGTGATGGTTCATAACTTTTATTGTTTCCTTCTTTCAACAGGCATATCCAGAGTACCTCATAACTTTCCAGATTGCTAAGATAGACAGCCTGGAGCTGCCCAGTCCATGAAATATGTCTCTGCAGAAGGAGGAATGTGCTCAGTCCGTGGATATTCCAGAGGAAGAATTCTCAGGATAGGGATCGTCTGGAACTCAACCATAGAACTGGAAAGAACCGAATTCCCACTTTGTTTCTGACCTCTTGATTCAAGAGTTGTGGTTTTTGAGTCAGAGCAATGCACGTTTTAAAAAAGCGTATTCTCTTTAGGGGAATTGTGGAAGAGAATACACTTGTGATGGCTCGATCATCGCAGAAAATGGATAGTTTATGTGAGCTCTTGGTGTTATCACACCATTTACTTCTTTTAACGGTCGCTAGTCCGGATTGATTTGTAGGAAATGTGGTCCTTCATCCTTGGACATGAGGTAAATTACTGTTCTGCATCACCAGCTAAGACTGGGGACCGGGGGAATTTTTGTTGGTGATGCTGGTTAGCGTTGCCCCCGAGTCTTTGCTCTCCTGTGACTTCCACATGTCCTGTCTGTTCAGCTCCAGTAACACCGAGATACTCACTGACTGATCTTTAAGCTTTGGGTTAAAACGTTTGGAGATTCTCTACCATTCAACACAGTTTTGTCTTGTTCTATCATATTCATAGTACCTGTTTATTTTTCACTTGTTTGTTTGTAGGAGTGCTGGATTGAAGGCATTATTTTCATGCTTAAAGGCGACTGAGACATGACCTTGCTTTGAATAGTTGAGTACGTTAGCTTCATTTTTGTAATTTGGAGCCATAATTGAAAAGTTGAAATTGTAAATAGAGAAATGAAATTCTTTTTTTTTTTTTTTCATACTTCTGAAATTTATCTTGCAAGTCATAGTATAGTATTGAGTGAATATTAATTAGGAACATCGATCACAGTTTAAGTGGAATTAAAGAAATTTACGGAAACTTTCGTTCTTGCTCAAAATGACTCCCATTGAGAATGGGGTTCCTATGAGGGACTTGATTTTATAGGACGTTACTTTTCACATTTTCCTGTCTTACTTGAATCTTTTTTCGTTAATTGAATGATTTTTTGTAGTGTATGATAGTCCTGGAAGATTATTTTCCTTTTGTTTAGTTTGTGATGTGAACTTTGTTCACATGTACAATTCCCTGTAAGACCGAGCCATATAAGTGGCTTCGTTCTAGTAATAACGCTATTTAGTGAATAGTAAGTCTTTTAAAATGCCTCCTACCTTGTTACAGTCTGTGAAATAGCTTCCTGTGCTTGCTGATCATTTACCCTTTGCTTCCTATTCTGTTCCTATTTTACAACAGGAAGCAAAGTGTTAATGCTGATATTGCAGTGCTTGCCCGGGAACAATTATTTTGTTGGCAGTGTTTAGTTTTTATTCATTTGTGTCCTTTTGATATTTTTTGGCCTCTTTTGATTTGCATTAGTTTTGCCATTGCAATTATATTTTTCACAATTCTTTATGATCCTGTGTATCGATTTGTTATCAAACTCAATTGGTTTTTATTTTTTGTTTTTTGTTCTTGCTCCAGTTTATGATTCGTTTTTTCAAGGGAGGAGTGGCTGTTGTCTTTTGCCTGGCTCAAGTCCCCTGTTGGAGTGACATCAGTAGTAATATATTAGGTGATGTGATTTATACTTTACCTTCTTTTTTTTGTTTCTGTCCTCTTTTTTAAATACTCCTCGTTCAGGGCTACGCTCTCCATTTTTTAAATAATATTTTAAGGTCCATTGGGATGTTAAACTCGTACAAAGTTGAAAAATGTGACATTCTGTCTTCTTCTTCACATTACTGTAGTCTCCACCTAACCGCACGGTGCTCAGGAGAGCTCCTTAGCGTGTGTTTATACGGAGTGTATGTTTACATGAACCTTTGCAAAGGGAGGAAGGGACGCAGTCATCTCATTGCCTTGATATTCTAGTGACCTCCCTTTGGGGTGGGGGGGTCTCTTAAGGCTGATAATATGACAAGTGACTGTTTTATGAAGGATTCCACTACTGCGGTTAAGAGTACAAAAAAGGCGTTGAATGGGTGGGGGGCAGAAAGACAAACTGAAATGTAATATACACCATAAAATGTCGGGAACAGATAACCTAAAAGGAAATTGTTGGCCCAGCCATGTGGCTTTCCAAGCGACCACCCCCGACCGTAAATTCATGGACGAGCATTCATGCATGTTGCACATCATAGGCCTAGGTCTAACTGAACATTACATGCAGTCACCCAAACACCAGTCAGAAACCTTCTCTCAAAGAGATGCGTTTCCAGTGACCAATCAAATAACATTTCAGTCCCCCAACCCCCCAACATTTCACCGACCAGTCCTAGATCAATGTGTCTGTGGAAAGTTGGGTGTGAAAACGCTGTCCACCACTGTCTCTGTCCGGCGTGAGGGGCAGTCTCACCAAATAACCGGTTTTCTGGGCCTTTCTTATGCAAGCTGTACACATTTTAGTGAAAATTTCCCTTTCTCAAGCTTTATCTGTCGGCGTGTTTCACGGATCGGAGCATACATTTAGAGAGAGTGACAGTGCTAGTAAAAGAACCCATCAGATGACAAAAGCGTGCGTTTGAGCGGAACATGCTTTTGGCATGTGTTTAGGCGGAGACTACTGTATTACAAAGTAAAATGTGCAAGCTGACTATAGGGCTTCCATGGGGACTGACGTGTGTCCTTGGTGAGAGGACTGTGGACTTGTTGATTCTCCTTGACAATGATTTTTGGTAGGGATGGTACAGGTGAAGCTGAATTATATGTGACTGTTGCAAAAGGATTGTGCCTGTGTTGCTGTAAACAGAGATAGATGACTCCTGTGCCGTGACAGTGAGGAAGAACACAAATTTATGGCTTCGCTTCGTTCAAGAAACCTGTTTTCAACATTTTTCTTCAAATCTAACGTTTCAGTTATATGATACAGCCATTCCCTCTCAAATATATGTCTATTTCTTTAAATTTCAATTCAATCACTTTTATGGCAAAAATTAGTACTTTTCTTCAGAAGAAGGAACACGTGATATTCATTTTCGTCATTCTCTCTTTGAAAAATGATTGTGTTGCTTACTATATTTTTATTAAAATGTGCTTTCAGGATAAAGCAGTAAATAATGTTTTGATGGTTTTGCTCAAGAACCGTGAGACTGCCCTGACTTAAGGCTCTCTTCTATTGTGTTTAGTGGATACTGGGGTTAATTTAGTCTGCTTCTTTATATTTCTTCAGAGCTTAGCTTTTTTGTGTCCTAGTCTGTTCCTGGTGAAATGTGGCCATGGGCGTGCTGACTGGGGAGTTATCCGAGCTTGGGCTGTTGTAGTGGATTCCTTCCTCTGAAATACCTTAGTGTCAACAGAGGTGAAGATCTCTATTGGGAGAAAATAAGAAAAAAAAACATATTAGTGTTGTATCATATGTGTCAGAAGACATATTTGAATTGTACATTTTGTCTGAGTGAAATTGTTTGCCATGGTCATATTCTCACAAAGGACAGGTATTTTATTACTACACTTCTTTCTGCTTGGTTGTAGTGTCCTCCTACATCATGTAAATTGTCAGGACCAGGACTGATTGGTAGAGAACTGAACAGCATGATGTCTGTGGAATTATTGGGACAAAAAAACCCCGACTATGCACAGCCGCCTGCCTTTCAAATTATTTTCCTCTGATTTCAATTTTTTCTGTAATTATTGCATAAAATGAAGATTTTTTCTAACCTTGAAGCCAGAAATTGAAGTATTGGGGCTTGAATTATATATCAAGAGCCTTTCTGGTACGTTAAGTATAGAGTTTTGGTAGGCCAACACATCATTTTTCATAGTACTGTAAGTAGGACTTGTGGTGTAAGAGTTAGGCTTTCTGTATCTTTCACACAAAAATACGAGTGTTGTTCCAACCAGAGGAATAAATTTTGTCGAATATAACAGCCACCCTATTTAGGGATATATCCCATGATACAGCTGGCGTTGGCCCTGATAGGCAGATTCAAAGCAGTCTGTCTCAGAAATGTTCTATATCGTATCAATGTGAACTTTTTTGCGGATGATGCTATCGAGTTGTGAACTTACCAAGTTGTACTTTATTGTAACAGTCTAAGTGACTAAGTACTGTTTCAGATTATCTGAAGTTGTGTTGTTGCTGCTGTTCCTTTTTTAAGTGAATTTTGTCCACTGGTGTGAAAATGAGAATGTCATCAAGATGCATCGAGTTTTCTTAAAGTGAATATATGAGTGGGTGAAATGAAAATGTGTTGCTGACAGGGGGGGGGGGGGGAATAATGTGATAAGTTTTAGCTTCTTTCTATCAGCCTTTATGTCACAGGCAGTGAGAGGTCTTCTTAACTCACTTTTTCTCAATTCTAAATCTGATTTATCCTTCGATGTATGTAAATGCAAAAGCAACCAATCAGCAAATTTCCAAGACTTCAGTGGCATGCACCATTGTTGTCTATGGGAGGTTTTTCAAAAAGCTGTCGGGATTAATATCTGTAGGCCTACTGCAAAGGAAGCAAAAAGGGTTGGATAGACCCGTGTTCAACTATTATGGATGAAAATACTGATGACCATTTGAATGCTGAAGCAGGAGAGTTTTCTTTTGAGTTTGTGAAATGAGAGGCTTATGTTTGTGTCTGGGATGTTCTGGACAACTAACTTTGCAAAGATTATATGTGGCTGTGAGATCCTATGCTGCTCTTTGCTTGGCCACTACTGTGTACATCGTGCCTGAAACCCCATGGTGGTTCAATGTGAATTTATTTTTTCTTAGTTTTATCTGGGGTTGGGAGGGGTACTCTGTCGTGGTCTGCTCCTTCTGCCTCTTTTCCTTGTTACTGTTACTGTTTCCTGTCCTTAAGAAATTCAGTCCTGGTTGTGCTGACTGACTTGTCTACAACTCAACAGCCTTTCGGGGGGAGGGTTTGTTTGTTGTTAGGGGATGGGATTTGTGTCGTTTTGTGACAATACAGGGTAGTTATCCAGCAATTTTACAATGTTCTGAGGCCAGATAGCACCTGGTATTTTGGCCAGGTGCGTTCTATCAGAAACATGATTTGCGAGTTTTGTAAATAACATGTGCAGTGTTTAACTTATTGTACACCCAAGGAGGATGAGTCTGAAGATGATTGTGATAGTCTCAACACCGTCTTTGTTGTTTTGTCACTGTGTCCACCATCACTTTCTCCACCATTTGTCTTCTTCTGTCTCTGTACAGTCCCTGTCTCTCTCAATCTGTTTTGTTCTGTCTCTTTATGTACACCATATGTGTCTTTTGTTTGTTTTGCGTGACTGTAGGCCTACATACTCCTTTCTTTCTTGATCTGCCATGTTCTCTTACTTGATACTGATACTTTTTCCTTGTCCTGTTTTCTCCTGTGCTGTTGTCTCTCAAAAGTCTTGAGTCATGCATGTGGTTTGTTGTTTGCTTGTTGGGTTTTTTTTTTTACTTGAGTAGTTTTGATTTTCTTTTACGATTGAAATGATATCTTTTTAAGTCCTGAAAGATGTCATTGCACTGTTGTACATATTATGTGGTCTCAGTAAGCAGTCCCACACATTATTTTTGTTTATGACCTACCCCTTGCGACATTCATGTATTTCACCAGCATTATTTTGATATTTGAAAAACAAATGTAAGCAGTTTCAATATGTCCTAGTTACTGAAACTTATCATCAGTAGGTTTGTTGTTTTTTTCTAAAGTGGATGGGTAATAGGGAAGGGAGTGAGAAGGGGGAATGTTCATTTCATTTCTTTTATCTTTAGGAAACCAACCTACCTGCTCTTTCATATGGAATTTACAAACACTTATGATGCGTTACAGTGATTTGTATATAATATACATGTAGTAGATGTATATAAATTTAGATATTTCTCAAAGATGAAACCTTTTGAAGTAGTCAGTGAATTAATTTTGACCTGAGGAGCCGGGGCGGGGGGGGGGGGGGGTGTCAGGGAAAACTAGAGTCTTACTTTTCTTCTTCCGTCTGCTTCTGCTCTTAAGCCATTGTCCCTTTGCAGTAGTGTAACTGTCGTCTTAATTGGCATTGGTTGTTCACTCTCTCATGGAAAATACATTTTATGACGGAAACTAATTTTGACAAATTAAAGGCTTTACGACTCTTTTTGATAGTCAAATGACATCAGCTTGGGGGATGACTGATAGCTTGAAGAAAGTGAACAGCCTCACTTTGCAGAACAAATTTTTTTCTCTGGGCTGAGAAGAATTTTACTGAAAAATCATTTTGTGTTGATCTTTGTCCATCACTAGCTGTCTAGAGTGGAAGGAACGTGGAGGGAGAGTGTTTTCTTTGGGTACTAGAATTCTGAGACAGCCTTTTGGTTTCTTTTAGAGGATGGGATAGTAAAGGCTAAAGTGCTGACCTCTGTTGTGTGACTTCAAACCTTCTGTCTCGATTGCCATTTTCCTCAGTGAATGCCTCCTTATCGTTTATGTGTAAATATTTGCATGAAGAATTTTGTGTACCTGTACTTAGTTTATGTTCAGTTTTATGACTTAAATAGGTAATGGTATATGGCCTTTGTTTCTGCCCCACATCTTTCTCTTTTCTTTACCTCGCTATCTCTCTCTCTTTCTCTCTCTCTCTCTCTCTCTCTCTCTCTCTCTCTCTCTCTCTCTCTCTCTCTCTCTCTCTCTCTCTCTCTTTCTCTCCTTCTCCCTTCCTCTCCTTTTCTCAATTGTGTGGGGTTGTTATGAAGACGACAGCTATGCTGTGCTGATCAAATAAATATTTGGTTTCTGTTGCAACAAACAAATATTTTGTGGTTTGTGGTTTGCTTATTGTTGGCATTTTGTCTTGCAAAGCTTTGTTTAATTCTTTTTGTCTTTCTTGTGCTAGTTACCCTTTCTCGCCTGCTCCTCTCTCACCCTCTCTCCCCCCCCCCCTCTCTCTCTCTCTCTCTCTCTCTCTCTCTCTCTCTCTCTCTCTCTCTCTCTCTCTCTCTCTCTCTCTCTCTCTCTGTCTCTCTCTCTCTCCCTCCCTCCCTTCCTCCCTTTAATGTCTCTATCCATTTATCGTCCTATTTGTCTACTTGTGTGTCTTTCTTTCTTACATCCGCAGTCAAACCCCTTTATACTTATAACTACCACCTTTGGAAAAATAAGCATGAAGTTGGTGAAATTGCGAGCCTGGGTTCCTGACTGCCCAGTGTCAAGAGAAACGATTCTGCAGTGTGATCTGTGTTTGAAAAGTGCCTTTTTT